GCAGTCGTTTTCAGGTTCTTCTCTCTTTCGAATTCCAAAAATCCTAATGATTTCACCAATATTCTTCCAATCGTAGCATATGAATTTATGGCTATTTTGTCAACTGCTTTATCTTAAAACTGCAATTTAGGATGGAAAAACTAGACTGGAGGAGCAGAAGCAGCCAAGCCAAGACCTTAGGGACCCTTATTTCAATCTCAGGGGCATTTGTTGTGACATTCTACAAGGGTCCAGCTGTAATAAAAAAACAATCTCAAACTGTACCAACTCATCTACCTTACTCACCACAATTAAACTGGATCATTGGAGCCCTTTTGCTTGCAACTCAAGCATTTATGACTTCAGTAACATATATTCTACAGGTGAGGAGATTATGATTTCTTGCCTTTTATTTAGTCCTAAAGATTTTTTGAAAAAGCTAATACTGATTCTCTGTTATTTTGGAAATTTTGCAGGCGGTGGTTCTCAAAATGTACCCGGCAGTTTTTACAGTCATGTTTTATCTTAACTTCTTTAGTGCCATTCTCTCTTCACTTAGTTCTTTGATTTTGGTTGAAGACACAAGTTCCTGGATGCTAAGACTTGATATAGGCTTAATTGCTGTTTTACACTCAGTAAGCGTGTACCAAGTCTTTTATGTTCTATTTTGACCATGCAATTTTAAGAACTGTGAAACAATCCTAAAGCTCATTGTCATGTATGATTGCTTCTGTGAAATGCAGGCATTTGTTGGGACTCTCTTCATTTCCACCCTGAGTGCATGGTGCCTCAGCAAGGCAGGACCTCTCTTTGTTTCCATGTTCAAGCCATTGGTTATTATTTTTACCATTATCATGGGATTTCTCTTCTTGGGAGAAACTCTTTGTCTTGGAAGGTATCAGAGGAAACAGAGGAAAACTTTTCTCTTTCTTAGAACTTATAAGAGGAAACTAATATATACCGCCTGCTTTGTTACAGTATGATTGGTGCGATCATAATTGTGATTGGATTTTATGCTGTCATGTGGGGTAAGGCCAATGAAGAGGAGAAGTCCAAGGAGGAAAGTGGATTGGGAAGCATCCAACAACCATCGAGTGAAAAGGTTCCTTTGTTTCATATCAGAATAGAAGAAGTAAGCAATTGTGCTTAGATACTCAAGACTCCCCAGCTAAATATGTTAGAAAACCAAGGTGTCCATCCTGTAAATATTACTGCAATGCTACCTGAAAACAATTAACAGCTTTTTCCTGTCTTGTGACCCAGTGACTGTCATCTTTTTCAATTACTATGATGTAAGTCTGTTCACTGAGCAAAGCTTACCTAAGTAATTTATATTACAAGTTAGAAAAGTCTGTCTGCACTCTCCATAATCATACCATTCTAGCTAACATTTGGCCAAAACATGTTCAATGTTATATTTTAGTACCAGATTCTTTGAGCAAGAAATGGTATCAATTGTGTTAAGTGGAGCTGCCGGCTGCTTGGCCAAGGATTAAATTATGTCTATCCTCCAGGTGGAACACTTTTCTTTTTTTTTTGTTTAAATGCGCATTTGATTCCTTCCATTAGCATATCCTTTTAAATCATCCAGCCAAAACATATCTGTATGGGATGACTCAGAAACAGCACGTTAGCACCACTTTCTTGCAAATAAATCAATATATGATGGAGATATGTGACTTTTTGAAATTAGTTTTATCATCTCTCCCTTGTCTTAGTTAGTTGCCTGCATTTTTTTGGAGCTGATAGAAATGTAGATGTTTCTATTCATAATGCACATGTCCTTGATTCATACCCAAAAAAAGAGAAAAGATTACTTTTATTGGGGGAACTAACAGTCATTGTTGCAACAGCAATGGTATAAATTTTGGTCAATCTAGCAGTTCCCTACATACTAAAATGATGGTTGGTGGCCTAGCTGGTCTATTTCATATGGTAATAGTTCATAAAATGGCAAAATTTCCATATGAACTAAAATACCCAAATTCTCCTGAGACACTCTTTCCCCTGCTTTCTTCAGCTATTGGCCTACTGGTATTGGCACAGATAAGTTTCCCAACACCCTTTGAAATATTAAGCAGAGTGGGCCAACGTGTAGTGCATGTGGCTGGAGATTCCCACTAGCTATTTTAAAAAGTCATGTTGGGACTTGAAATCTTGGATTATTAAATCTTAGTGCATACATTGTCATTTGGAAGCTGAATCCTTGAAGAAAGTGGAAAACATTTCCTCATTTTGTTATTGATAGAAGCTCATATTTGTTTGTGTGTACAGGGAGACAGAGATGAGAGGAGGATGGGGACTCTCTTGACCTTTTTGGAAATGGTGATGGAGATTTTGGCTCAAGTTAGTGGTACGGTGGTAAGTGGCAACCAAAGCAACTTTGTCAAGAGGTATCAACAAATATATTATTTTTCTTTACCCTAACATCTTCTCCACCTTCATTCTTCTTCCTCGCTCATTTTTGTTCCACAGTTTTTTATGTCTCCATTTCGTTTAGCATCTCATAAGTTCACTTTACTCAATCTCAATTATATAGTTTGCTTGATACGCTTCTTCTTTTGTTATTGTTTTTGTTACCTTTTAGAGTAAGAAGAATATTTCATTCACTCATCATTTTGAGTGCGAGTGTGTATTGTACAGTTTAGTGGAGATGCTGGTGTGGATTACAGCTCTCCTACATTTAGCACAGCAACGCTAAATCTCATTCCTGGTTTTATCTTTCATCCTAACAGTCATTTTATGGTTCTTCATTATTTCAAATTTAAAAAACCTGAATAATTTCACACAAAGAAAAAAAAATGTACAGGCGGTAGTATTCTGAATTAACTGCTACATTGTGAAACTGCTTTCCACCATTTTATTTAATACCAAGAGTATTGATGCTCATACAGTGAATGACCTGGACGCATTTATATCATTACAAGATGTAAGTTTTGCTGACTAAAATAAATGGCAGCAGGATAGCATTATCGGCTTTACAAATGAAAGAATCACAAGGATGAAGCTTTCTCATTCAGGGATTCTCTAACAGCCTTCAAGAGTAATGGCATCAACTTCTGATTGGTAACGATGATGCCTGCATCAACATCAAGATATTTTCCTTTGGAAAAATCTAAAGGGATCCCTGCAGCATCCGTGACCAAGCCTCCAGCTTCTGCAAAGTTGAATGAAGACTAACTATGTTATAATAACTGGACATTCATGGGCAAAACAAAATGGAATCCTAGAAATTTTTATGAAATAGCCACTACACTATTTAGTTTTCTCTAAAGACAATCTCTTCATCTCCTTATTTTTCTATTTTGACATTGGACTTCATCTCCTTTAATATGAAACACATGCTTTAAAGAATGCAATAGTTAACTATCAGCCATGTGGTTTGGTGGTAGAGTTATCTGTGCTCTTAGCCATAGGTCTAGGGTTCAGTCCCTATTCTATACATATCAAAAAAACAGAATGCAATACTTAAATACATAAAATTACACACTTACAATAACAAGCAACTTCAGCATAAAATCCTACCCATCTATAGCAGTTTGAGAAAAATTAAAAATATTTTAAAGGAACTTGTACATACCAGTCACAACAATGCAGCCAGCAGCATGATCCCATATTTTCTCTCGATATCCTTTGCGTGGAAAACGCAGATATATTTCCCCATCACCTCTGGATAGAGCCCCATACTTTACCTGGCTGTCAATTCTAACTGGTGGTGCCTTTATGCCCAGTTTCTGTTCATGTCTCAATGTTTTCTATAAGATATCAACCAACAAAAATATGCAAAATATGCCACATGCACATATATGTACATACACACATGTGTATACAGATATAAACGCATTCACTCATGCAAGCATGTTCACATAGTCACATAATTTTGTATTTTGGGGTTGGGGTGTAGAAAGAGTACCTCAGAAATCAAGCTTGTTAAGTAACGCATGTAATGTGCTGCTTCATATGACTCAAAGAAGGATGCTTCTTCTGGATTCTCAACAGCAGTTACTTGCACCTAAATGCACAACCAACATATTAGTGTGCAGCATACATACTGAGATGAAGTGCCATTGGGAAAAAACACCGAATGAGTTTCACACCTTCAGCGGGGAAGAACCATTTAGTGACTGCATATAAGTTCCTTGACCAACTTCAGAAAAGAAAAGGCAACCAACTTCACCATTGAAAGCATTTGGATTTCCCCCACTTATAGAAGTGAAAGGAAGATTTGGACAAGCTAGAACACCCAAAACTAGTTGTCCCTCATCTAGCAAGGCCAATGCAATTGCATATTGATCTCCTCTAACAAATCTGAGTTGCAGTATCAAAAGCATATACCATTTCAGCACGATGAGCCCATATGCACATCAAGTCATTGGCTTTTGTAGAAGTACTGCTTTGGTAAAGCTTTTGCAGAAGTGTCAAATCTTGGATGCATATTTAAAATAATCATAAAAATTTTATAAATTTATAAAAAAAAATATATCAAAGTCAGAAGCTTAACAGCAAAAACTCTTTTCTAGAAGCTACAAGTTTGTAGCTTCAGTTTCTAGCCTTTTAGAAGCTGAAAACAACTTTTAAAAAAGCCAACTACACTTTTCAGAAAACTGGGTTCAACTTATTTCAAAATGATTATTTCAAAAGCTGGGCCAAATAGACTCTAAGTATACTCATGAAAGAAATGGACTCTAAGAAACCTTTTCTTTGGTACATTGTCAGTAAGTCACTTAGCAATTGCAAAAATTTGAACCTCCAATCTTGACACCAAATCAAAGTTTTTAAAGTTATCAGGTATCAACTTTGCTAAGCTCTTGTAGGTAAACTATGAAACCTATTCAAACAACACTTACAGGCTCCAGCTTCTTCATGATTGAAGTATACAAACAAGTTAAATTCAAGGTTTTAGAACCCACCCTTTAGTACCATCTATAGGATCCAAAACCCAATGACGGCCCTGGGAGCCACCTTCGGATTTGCCACTGTCAATGGCCTGAAGAATATCTTCAGTGGATAAAGGAGAAACGCTATATGACCCATCACTTGCTAGAGTATCATTCACAAGTTTTGTAATGCGTTCTAGTGTTTCCTGAGAACCATCCTTGCAAAGGTCTCCAGAATCCTTGGACAAATGAAAAAGGACAAAAGAAAAACTGAATTCTCCATTTCAAAGAAGAAAACAGAACATCTGCTTCATTTTCCTCAAAACAAATCCACAAGTTCAATAATCTACCTCTTCAGCAACTAATGAGAATTGTTCAGTAGGAAATTCCTTCTGCAGCAGAAAACTAACCAATGCTTGTGAACCTGACAAATCCAAAATTAAGAGATATGTGATAGAAACAGAGACTAGTAAACAACTACAACCCTTTTTGATCAACCCTAAAATCTGAAATAACCCTTTGTCAAAATCTGGAAAAGGCTTCCACAAAGCAGCATATTCAACATACATACAAATATAAACTCCATAAAAATCCTTTTCAAATCCAAGACATTAGGTATATTTGATAAATATCATAATAGCAAGTGCAATGAATGTAAGCATCTGCAAAGGAATCTGACTACAAACCATAATCAGCCACTGTAACAGGACTTTTATCCGACTTTGTCTGGACATCTGATTGCAATAGATCCTTTTGCACCTTCTGAAGATAAAGAAACAACAAAAAAACTTGAGATCAACTTCTTTGGACAGACGGAAAAAAGGGTAAAATTTTCAGAAGCATGTATTTATTGGTTTAGGTATATAGTCTAAAGCTTCTCTTAATATCTTGAAGAACAGTTACAACTAAAGCCTGACTGCATTGAAGCTCCCTGAAATCGAAATGCTTATTACTCTAGATAATTGGCGAAAAACATCTTTACAGGCTTTGTGCTCAAAAAGTATAATTGATGAGGAACTAGAAGCAACAATTGAAAAGTTATTTAGATTATCTAGGATTCTTAAGTAATTACATTTGTTCAAGTGCAGTTATTATTAGTTTTCCTACTGTTATTAAAATTAGGTCTTTATCAAGAGTCTAAGTCCAGAAATTTTAAAATTTTATGTTATACTTTGATTAAAATAGGAGTTATAGTCTGATTAAAATAGGAGCTCTAATAGGAGTCTTAATAGTTTCGATATAAATATGCACTTAGTTTCTTTCATTTTTTAGAAATAGAATGTTCAGAAATTTGTAGTGTAAGCTGTCTTTTGAGATTGTGTGATGCAATCTTAATTGTGCAATGCAACTAACCTTGAGTGTGATGATTTTTTTTTTTATCTTTGTCGTTATTTTTTATTTTTCTCTCTTCTAAGCTATATTCTTAATCTTTTTTAGTATTCACGCATACTGTTCACAGTATATAACTGTCCTAAACAGTCACTAAATTCCCAAGCCCGCCCTACCCCATAACCTATCTCAAATCAATAATTTTAATTAATCAAGGAAATAAGAGTAAGATAAGATGTACAAGGTACTCAGTAATTAACAATAGTAACATGACAAAAGCCAAAAAATAGTGGCAAACAATCATTGATGATTGACCGTTGACTGGAAAGAAAAGAAAAGAGCATAATCTCCAGGAAAATTTTGAGATGAATTATCATCCAAAGTTCAAAGATTTAATCATGATTCTAAAGAAATTCATTTCCATCATGCAACATAACAAGCGCATAATTTTCTAACAACCATCATGCATCAGGTTAAATATATGAAACTGTTTAATGAAGCAATAAACACTAGTAATAGACATCTCTTAGCTCAAAAAAGATTAGTTTGCAATTAGGGGTGTCAATGGCAGATATTAACGGACTGAGTTAAAGCGGGCAGCCGGTGACTCACAAGCAACCAAATAAACTTAAACAAGAGAAAAACCGGTAAAAAACGCCAAATTCACAACATGGGTCTCACTCCAGCAACAATTTTAGAATCTGGGTTTTGCTCATCATGCATTTTAGAGTAACAAAATCGGGATCAGAACAAAAGGTCACAAATTAACTTGGAAATCGAAGAACAAGAAACAGAAAGATTATTGATTATTTTGGGTTGAGAGATAGTAACCTGACAGAGGCGAGCAGCGAGGCAGGCGGCTTTCTTGGCGGCAACAAGCTCCTTATCATAAGACATCACTGTCAGCAGCCGCAAACAATGATGAATTTGAGGTTTTGATGAGAGTAGTAAGTGGGTTTGTGAATTTGATTATTTTGGGTGTGGATTCTGTGCGGTCCGATTCCCATGCAAATTATGGACATCGTCCTGTTTAAATTAGCCGTGTGGCAGGGGCTGCTAGTGCTTAGAGTAGATGTGATGTGATGTTTATTTACATGAATAATTGAATATAGGCTTAAGCATTGGAAAAGGACCCTAACTTTTATCAAATTCTCAATTGAGGTCCTGAACGTTTATTATGCTCAATCAAGGTCTCAAACTCATGTAAACTCTCAAATAAGGACCCAATTGATGGAATCCTAACCATCCGTTTAAGTCTAACATGACACCCGTTAGAATCTGTTACAGCCCTCAACATGTGGCATGCTGACTGGACCCATAACGTTGATAATAAAAAAATTGTCCAACGTGGCATGTTATGGCGGATCTTTCCCTCCACAAATCAAGTGGGTCCCACAAGACTCCTTTTTCTTTCTCATTTTTTACTATTTAATACTTATTTATTATAAAAACTTTTAAACTTTTGTCTGTAACTTAGTCAATAGAAAACGACTTTTGATAATTTTAAAAAGTCTATTTGAGGCTTTTACGTGGAGTCTTTTAAACAACATTTTTTTTTTTTTTGCATTTCTGTGTGGATTTAATAGTATACAAGTACGATTAAGTGATTTTGTTTGAGTTATTGAATGATTTTAATATTTTTATTAATTTTTAAATTTATTTTTTTATTTAAATTTTTTATCTCAATTGCACATGATTTTTTTAATTTTGTTTGATCAATTTATTTAATTTATTATTTTTTTTATTCTTAATCACTTATATTTTTTTAATTGTATCTCATTAGATTTGGGGGTGTTGGAAGTGTTATGAGTTTTCATCTTTAATCAGCTTTTTTCTTAATTATTTTTACATCTTGTTTAAATGTTCATATATGTGTTTCCTCTTATTTTTACAGGATGGGTGACAAAAAATTGACCTTCTTCTATGGAGGAAATTTCATCAAGATCGAAGTAATGGGGAAGATATTGACAGTGAAAATTCTGGGGATTTTGGCCCCCAATTTGTGGAATGGGACTAGAGATTGCTTGGGAAAGTTTTAAGGATTGGGTGGGCTGCTGCTGCGCGGAGAAGAAGAAGATCTTGCACGGCCGGTTGCTGAGCAGAAAACAAGAAGGTCTTGCATAGAGAGAGGCCGGCTGCTCGGCGAAGAAGAAGAAGCAGATCTTGCATGGAGAAAGGCCGGCTGTTGGGCGGAGAACAAGAAGAACTTGCATAGAGAGAGGCCAGCTGTTGGGCGTAGAGAGAGGCCGACTAGTTGGCAAAGAAGAAGAAGCAGATCTTGCATGGAGAAAGGCCGGTTGTTGGGCGGAGAACAAGAAGAAATTGCATGGAAAGAGGCTGATTGTTGGGCAGAGAAGTTGTAGGGATAGGGTGGGCTGCTGTTGGGTGGAGAAGAAGAACCTGCATAGAAAAGAAGCTGACTGAAAATTCTAGGGATTTCGCCCCCGAATTGTGGAGTGGGAAGGAAGAGGAGAGATGGGAAAAAAAGGAGACATGTGGGATTACAACATGGCACGTCCGAGAATGCATTTTATTGTCTAGTTGGCATGCCATGTATTGAGCAGGTAACGGATTATAACGGTGTCATGTTAGACTTAAACAAATGGTTAGGATTACATCCAATTGGGTCTTTATTTGAGAGTTTGCATGAGTTTGAGACCTTAATTGAGCATAATAAATGTTGAGGACTTCAATTGAGAATTTAGTAAAAGTTAAGATCCTTTCTCAATACTTAAGCCTTGAATATATTCTACCGTGAAGATAGGGATAAGCCACTCAGGTTATGTTTCTTTTCCAAAAATAAATTGACGGCATCTCTCGTAACGTAAAATTTAAGTTTCATAAATTTAAGATAGGGATAAGTTGCAAATGAAATGAAAGGCTGAAAAAAAAAAAAAAAGCTGCAGAGTCAAAGGAAGCATGTGGCAAAAGTGTTTTTCTCTTACTTATTTCAAATTTCAAATGTAGAATGGTTGAAAGATTTAAATTTGAATTATTTGTATTCTCTTGTATACAGGAAAAATTGTTAATGAGAAATTTTGACTTGACTTGAGATAGTATATTTTTTATTTTTTTTGACCAGGTAGATGGTTAGGAAATTAGTAGAGTTAGTTTGTTAGCAACTGAAATTTTTTCAGGAAAGTGAACGTTCCACCCCTTCATTTGAGGCGCGCGACTATTAGGTCACAAGTTGGTGGAGTTCACGGCGGTGGCAGAGCTCGAAGCCTTGACCTCCGCCTCACCCAAGTCCTAAAGCTTGGGGGCTAACCAATTGGGTCACAGGTCCGATTGGCAGATAGTATATTTTTTATGGGTGTGATATGTTAAAAAATAAAAATAATTGTCCAGCAGCACTTGGGGCTACTAGCCTTTCCTTGCAAGATGTGTTTATAATTATTATGATTTGAATTCTAATTTTATGATTGTTTTTTTGAAAAAAAATTTTTATTGTTAAAAAAAAATTTTAAAAAGATTATTTTTTATTATATAATTAAAATAAAAAAAAATATACTTTATCTTCATTTTAGATTATGTTCTGCTCTTCACCTTCCTACCAAGGCTCTCCATTCATTTCTTTGTGAAAAAAAAAAATGAACACCCCTAACTTCCTCTCTCTTTTCTGCAAAACCCCAAGTTCCTAATCAACTAATTCAAAGATTCCAGATAATGATAACCTTGGAAAGTTTACAAAGAACGAAATTCATAATTAAAAAATTACAAATGATCATAATTTTAAAAAAATTACAGTGGAAAAGAAGACCTGTTAGTTTAATTACCTAACAACTTAATGTAAACCTTTTTCACTATGTCAAAAATTAAATACTTCTTACCACTTACTTCCTCGCGAACTAGTTGTCCTAATTAAAAAAAAAAAAATTACAGGGTGAAATCTATTACCTTACAATCAAGTCAGTCATCATTCCAATTAAATATGACGCATCTCACATGAAAGGTTGCATCAACAGAAAGAGCAATGTCATGCACCCCAAATGAGGATTAATCGAAGCAACTAGACAGCAAGTCTCGGTAGAGAAAATATAAAATTCAGCAGCAGCAAAACTCTTTGCGCTGTGCATCAGCGAACGTGTAGAACAGTTTTGCCTGAATCGCATCACTGTTTATCATTATCGTGAACCAGGAAATTGAAGTTAATTACCTGAGAGAGAGATCCATCAACAGAGCCAAGATGTAGAGAAGGGAAGTAGAGTCCTTTTCTTTCCTAGTCTTCTTTATCAACCAGTAAAGCAAAACTAACTTTTGAATTAATTAATGAGTTTTATCTTCTTCTCTTTTTTTTTTTTCTTTTTTTTTTACAAAGGGAAATGGGAAAAAGGGGTTCAAACCCGATCATGTGAATGGAAAGTATATACAGTAATTACACGAATTATGTATTAAGATTCAATGAATTTATTTATTTTTTATCTCATGTATATAGGTAAAAGAAATAATTGAATTGCCAATTCATTGCTTTTATCATTTTCCATAATTGTAATTAATGATTAATAAAATAAATCATATTTATTAATTAAATTGAACAAGAAATAATATTTTTAAAAGTAATATTTTATAAAATTTGATCATGTTAACATTAACAATGATGACTATAAATCTATAATTTTGGTTGAAAAGAAGAGTCAATTTACTCAAAAAAATTATTCTACTTTTGAATTAGGAGAGGGTCTTTGATATTATGTCTTCTTTTGGTTGTTTAAGAGTTTTAATTCTATAAGTAAATACATTTTAGATAATAAAACAGCAAACTTTTTACTCAAATATGGGTGTTTAATCGCTTATATGTCATTTTCTTTTTCTTTAAGAGCTTATCTGAGAAAATGGGAAAGTCCAGGGCTTGATACTAGTTTTTGCCATTCTGTTAAACATTGCGCGAGAGAGGGGTAAACGCTGCTGTGACTCAGGGGGAAAGGATGGAGAAGAAGCTCGTTCTGCCAATGGTGGGGATGGTGATGGCAGAGTGTGCACAAGTTGGGCTGATGATAGTGGGCAAAGCAGCCATGTCTCATGGAATGAGCAAATTCATTTTTGTGTTTTACTCTAATGCTCTGGCCTCCTTAATTCTCCTCCCTTCTGCCTTTCTCTTCCACAGGTACCCTCTTTCTCTCTAACACCCATAGAAGCCTTTTCATGAACTAAATTTTACATTTTGATTTAAAGATCTCGACTTTCTTGGCAGATCAGAGCGTCCTCAGCTCACTTTCTCCATCCTCTGTGGGTTTTTCTTGCTTGGCCTTTTGGGGTATGAAAATTTCCAATTCCATGATTTAGTTTAATTTGTAAATGAAAATTATGGGGTGGGTTTGTTTCTGATTGGAATAATTTTCATGAATTGCTGTATTTTGATTGATATTGCCTTGTATGCAGTTGCTTTGCCCAGATATTTGGGTATGCTGGGATTTACTATAGCTCAGCTACTCTTGGGACAGCCATGCTTAATCTAATCCCCGGTGTTACCTTCATACTTGCCATTGTTTTCAGGTTATAATCTCCTTTTTCTGTACCCTTTATATTGCACAAATTGCTCATTATGAATTTCCCTTCATCCTCTGTCTTAATACAAAATCTGAATTTTCCTTTCCCTTTCCCTTTTCTCCAATTTTATTTTATATTGATGGTGTTGATTTATTGTTTTGTTTGTTAGTTTGCCTTATGTGGTGTTAGTGGAATTGAAATCTCTGTTTTTGAGACTGAAGTTAGGAACTCTCTGTTGGTTATCCATTTTGAATAGAAATTTTCCAAACAGGACTGGTTTTCTTTTTCATGCTTGCTCTTCATTTCATCACAAGATTGTTTTGCCCCCTTCAAATGAGTCAATGATATGTTTCTATTGACTCTATATTTCTAAAAATGCATGTCAATTACGTGCAGTGGATTAATTGCAGTGATCGGTTAATTACTATGAGGTATGCAATATGGCTGTGAAGTGTATCTATCAATCTGGTGAATATTCAGTGGTGCAGGTGAACCTAAATTGATTCCCTTCTTGTTTTTAGGATGGAGAAACCATGTTTGAGAAGCTCAAGTTTTCAAGCTAAGTTACTGGGAACAATGGTGTCAATTGCTGGGGCATTCATTGTGACTTTCTACAAGGGCCCTGCACTTCTGCTGACACTCTCACCTTCTAACTCACCTCATCAACTTCTTTTGCAACATTCAAACTGGGTCGTCGGAGGATTTCTCCTTGCTGCTGACTGCTTGTTTGCTTCTGCATGGCTTATTACACAGGTGAACCTCAGCCTGTGTGAAGGGTATGCATAAAAGTTGAGACAAATTGCTTTGATATTATTTTCTTTCTTAATCATACTCATCTTTCAGGCATCAATCCTAAAGAAATTCCCTGCTGAGCTGATTGTTGTCTTCTTTTACTGCTTCTTTGTGACCATTCAATCTGCAATAATCTGCTTGGTTATGGAAAGAGATATTAGTGCTTGGAGCTTCAAACCTGATGTGAGATTGATTGCTCTTCTATACTCAGTAAGTAATTTTTGTCAGAGGAAAATGATCTTCACTTAGCCAATTGTTCTGTGTATGCTTAATCTTAATTGCCCCTAGTTACTCAGGAGATTTTTATGTGAAATTTTAGGCTGTTTTTGGCTCAGCATTTCAACTTGGCATAAGCACATGGTGCCTGCATAGGACAGGACCTGTTTTTGTTTCAATGTTCAAGCCCTTGGGAATCATCATTTCAGTAGTCATGGGTGTTATTTTCTTAGGGGATTCCTTCTATCTTGGAAGGTAATATCTTCATCATTTATCAAGCTATTCTTTCTTGTTCTCTCTCCACTTTCGTGAGTTCATCATTTATAAAATAACAGAAATAGGCTTTTATCAATCAACCATTTGAACTTAATTTGTTTCAGCTTGATTGGAGCAATTGTCATTGTCCTCGGATTTTATTCTGTGATGTGGGGAAAGGCCAAAGAAGAGAAGATGGGTGTGGATGCTGGAGTAACAAAATTGGAGTCTGGCAGCCAAAATGCCCCTCTCTTATCAGATATAAAATAAATCAAAGCTGAAGGTTCATCACACATAATATAAAGGTAATGCTTTTTACTTGTGCAAGGAAAAAAAATTATCAAAAGTTATGTGTGGAAGCTGCCTTTGAATACCAAAACAAGCTCATTAGATCTTTATATCTTTGGTCAGCCTACTGTAAATTGACCTATTTTAGGCTGTACAACTGAAAATCTCTGGATGCTCGTGCCATGGTTTTGCTACAGAAACTTGAAAGCTATAATAGATGTATACTGTGGCATTTGGGTAGTAGAAACTCAGTCTGAATGGTATCAGAAAAATAGCATTCAAAATTGATTATCTTATATATTTGACATCTACTCATAGGTTTGGTGATGGCTAAGGACCTTGGATTTTGTTGAGAGCATTTTTCATATGCAAGTTTACCTTATAAATGATATCTTATTCGCAGGATTTATTCAGTAACATATCCGGACTTTATTCTGCTGCAACCTGCATGGAAGGCCAAAGAAAAGAGTTGAAACAACATTTTGGTCTGGTAGAATTTTGTTGAGTTGATCACATTCGTCCTAATTCTTGAAAATTGTAGCAAAGAATGCATTTAATGATTCAAAATATTTTTTGGATCAACTCAGGTACTCATCATGTTACTTTTCATTTTATATAATACATAATCATTCTAGTATGTATAACACAATGAATATATCAGCTTGAAATTGGTATACATGGCAGCCATTTGATTTGTTCATAAGATAAAACAATATTCTTGTTTTGCATTGTAAGTTAGTAAAATTCAAAATTTAAAATGCCCCATTTGTCCTAGGATAAGTATATAATTTCATTTCCTTTCATCTGATTTTCTAGTTATTTTTATAGTTCAATTTGTCTTAGGATAAATTTTGCAAACTCACTAACATCTTTAATGTGGACATATTTCTGCCCATATTCTTGGAGTAATGGCAATTGCATCAGTATGGTATGCCTTTTATGCAACCCTTACCAATCTGTGATACACCCTCGAACATTTGAATTGTTGCCAATCAATATCTTTATGAAAAAATCATGTTCGAAACCTTGATATTTACTTGTTTTAGTTTTAACCAATATCTTAAAATTCTTTCCCTAATAAATCCATATTTATAGATATTAAGCGCTCAGTTGTACATGACAAATAATTAATAATTAAAAAATATTTAATATTTAATATTTAATAAATTAAAATTAATTTATAAATAAATATTTACAAACATTATAATTAATTATTTAAAAAATAATAAATTAATAAAATATTATTCAAATCAAACACAATAATGTGGCAATAATTAACCCTAAAGAAAATAGGTTTTTTTTTTTTTTAACAAATTCACAAAGAGTCAGGTTTAAACCGTTGCATTGAGGATGAGGGAATGTACTTATACGTGACCTGACGTCACTGGACCTGAAAATTCCTGTGCCGAAAGAAAGAAAAAGAAAGAAAATAGGCTTTAGATTTATAATCTTTTTAAAGTCTAATGCAATAAGAATTGATCAAAATGCATATTATAATGTCTTTGGGTAGGGGCGTAGGGCCTCTTTGAATCTAGGCCACGATTCCACCTTAAGAAAGTATAAAAATAATAATAATAATAAAGTTATGAGCCCTTACGACTTTGGTTCAGTAACATTTATTTTGATAAATGAAATCACTTTGATAAGTTACAGTTTTAAGTTTCATGAATTTCCTTTCCTGATCTCCATTCCCCCTTTCTCCAGAAAATGTAATCCTATTCAAAAAAGAAAAAAATAAAAAAAAAACCTTACTTAGTACTAAGTAAACTAATCATGGTTAGCCATAATTAATGTTCAAGTTCATCCCTAATCTCATATTGGTTCATCAAGAAATCAAGAAACCAAACCAACCGTGGTCAGTAAGGGTTGTGGGCAAATCACAACTTGGACTTAGTCCTGGCCATGGGCCTGTATATTCTACAATAAAAGCGAATTTCAGCAGGCACAAATTCTAGCACCGTCCACCGGAATAAAGAACCACCATGCTTCTTTTTCCTTTTTCTCCCAAGTCCCAACTCTGAGGTTTGAGTAGTAACTCCCAAGAAACACGAACCTCAATCCGACCGATCAAATACTACTTTTCGAGTAGAAAAAGTAAGAAGTAGAATGGCAAACGAGAAATCAGTGATGGCAGTGATCAGGGCGGCCAGGCCGTCTTTCAGAAACAATCATGACAAGATCGCATTCGCCATTCATGCCTCTTTCCTCGCCTCCGGTTAGGTCCTCACCGCCACCAGACTTCTTGCCTTCGTGGACACAGCTCTCTCCTCCTCCTCTTCTTCCAACGGTTTCCACTTTTCTCGTCAGTTTCTCTCCAATTTTTCTAAAATTCGAAACTGAAATCCACTACTCTTTAAAAATAATATTTCAAATATATGTACTTTTTAATTTCCACCAATATCTCAATCCCATATTGAATCCACGTATCTGCATATTAAGCTCTTCTTGTTGTAGATATAGATATGTATCAAAAATAGAGATTTAATAAATAAAATTCATAGTGTTTTCATGTTGCGTTTGAAATTCATGAACATTAGGAAGTTATATGTACACAGTTTGATGATAAATGGAAAATTAGTATGATCTACAAAAAGCAAAGCGT